GCTTTTTTCTTTTTGCTTATGTGGTGCTGAGGAATCGAACCCAGGGCCTCGAGCATGCAAGGCAAGCGCTCTACCACTGAGCCACATTCCCAGCCCAAATCTGTGACTCTTATCTCCAGCAGAAAACCAGAAGTAGAGTTGTGACTCAAAGTAGTAAAGTGCTAGCCCTGAGTAAAAGAAGTTCAGGATAGTACCTAAGCCCTGAGTTCAAGCCCAAAGACTGGCAGAAGAAAAACAAAACAAAAACAAAGATAAGAAACAAAACTTGTTCTTAAATATTCATAGCAACATTATTTGAAATGGTTAAAAGAGAAAAGCAAGCCGGGTGCCGGTGGCTCACGCCTGTAATCCTAGCTACTCAGGAGGCTGAGATCTGAGGATTGTGGTTCAAAGCCAACCTGGGCAGGAAAGACCGTGAGACGCCTATCTCCAATAAACCACCAGAAAACCAGAAGTGGCGCTGTGGCTCAAGTGGTAGAGCACTCGCCTTGAGCTGAAGAGCTGAGAGACAGCGCCCAGGCCCAGAGTTCAAGCCCCACAACCAACCAAAAAAAGAAAAGAAAAGAAAAGCAATCTAAATGTTCATTTACAAATGCATGTATAAATTTGGATGGAACCATATCATGGCTACTTCCTAACAGTGAAAAAGGAATTAACTATTTCTTCGTTTGTTTGTTTTTTGGTTGGTCATAAGGCTTGAACTCTGGACCTGGGCGCTGTCTCTCAGCTCTTCATCTCAAGGCTAGCGCTCTACTACTTGAGCCACAACGTCACTTCCAGTTTTCTGGTGGTTTATTGGAGATAAGAGTCTTACAGACTTTCCTGCCCAGGTTGGCTTTGAATCCTGATCCTCAGATCTCAGCCTCCTGAGTCGCTAGGATTACAGGCATGAGCCTCTGGCACCTGGCCATGGGATTAACTATTTATATATGCCCAAAATGAATAAACTCTTATTAATCATTATATTCAGTGAAATAAACTGGACAAAATAGAATGCATTGTGTACAACCCACTTGCAGAACGTTGGTCTGTTACCTTTGCATAACTGCGACCAAAACACCTGAGGGAAACTGAAGGGAGGAAAGACGGATTTCGCAGGGTTCGAGCCCTGGCTGCTTGGCCCCACCCCGTGGGCAAGGTGGTGAGATGAGCGGCAGGGGAGGTTCTACCTCACAGGGCAGTCAGACAGCAGACACAGATGCAGAGGGGCTACGATAAGATCTTCTTCCACGGCTGAAAATGGCTCAGTGGTAGAGTGCTTGCCTAACCTGCATGAGGCCCTGGGTTGGATTCCTCAGTACCACATACACAGAAAAAGCCAGAAGTGGTGCTGTGGCTCAGTGGTAGAGTGCTAACCTTGAGCAAAAGAAGCTCAGGGATAGCGCCTCCAATTAGGTTGACCTCCTCAAGTTTCTAGAACCTCCAAAAATAGCACTATTAGCTGGGAGCCAAGTGATCAACACATTAGCCTAAGAGAATACTGCATATTTAATCCATGAATGGGAAGGAAACGGACTAAAAGAAAGGAGTAGCTAAGCAGACTAAAGCAACCGTTGGGATGATGAATATGTTCTTGTCTTGATGATGGTAATGTCAAAACATAAATTTTAGGGGCTGGGAAGGTGGCTTAGTGGTGGAGTGCTTGCCTTGCATGCATGAGGCCCTTGGTTCGATTCCTCAGCATCACATAAGCAGAAAAAGCTGGAAGTAGCGTTGTAGCTTAAGTGGTAGGGCACTAGCCTTAAGCTGAAATGCTGAGGGACAGCGCCCAAGCCCTAAGTTCAGGCCCCACGACTGGCAAAAAAAAAAACACATAAATTTTATACTTGAAGCTGGGTACTGGTGGCTTACACTTGTAATCCTAGCTACTCAAGAGGCTAAGATCTGAGGATCATGGTTCCAAGCCAGCCCGGGCTAGAAAGTCTGTAAGCCTCTTATAGTCAATAAACCACTCAGAAAATCAGAAGTGGCGCTGTGTCTCAAGTGGTAGGGCGCTAGACTTGAGCTGAAGAGCTGAGGGACAGCGCCCAGGCCAAGTTCAAGCTCTGCAACCAACAAAAAAAAATTTATACTGGAAACATTTATTTTTGTGTGTGTGCCAGTCCTCAGACTTGAACTTAGCTCTGTCCCTGAGCTTCTTTTGTTCAAGGATCATGCTCTACTGCTTGAGATGCAACTCCAATTCTGGCTGGGGCTGGCTTTCAACTGTCATCTTCAGATCTCAGTCTCCTGAGTAGCTAAGATTAGAGGCATGAGCCAGTGGCACCTAGCTCAAACATTCATATCAACTCTTTCTTTTTTTTCCTTTTTGCCAGTCTTGGAGCTTGAACTTAGGGTCTGGGCACTGTCCCTGAGCTTCTTTGGCTCAAGGCTAGCACTCTACCACTTGAGTCACAGCACCACTTCTGGCTTTTTCTGTTTATGTGTTACTGAGGAATCCAACCCAGAGCTTCACACATGCAATGCAAGCACTCTACCACTAAGCCACATTTCCATCCCT